TGTGATGTCTGCACAGAGTGGATTTTCCTTCATGGCACAGCGAATGCTGAAGTACTGACAATATCAGGGACTGACAGTGTCACAGCTGTTGGTTGGAATGTGTTAAACAGGTGCTGAATGCCTGTGATGTTGTGTATAACTCACAGTCACATCCTGTCTGACCAAATGGCCTTCGCTTTGCAGATACCAAGGACGTGCTGGTGATGTTAAGTGACATGGACATAAATGCCATCGCCGGAACGCTGAAGCTGTATTTTAGAGAATTACCGGAACCACTTCTTACTGACAGGCTCTACCCAGCATTTGTGGAAGGGATTGGTGAGTTGTATAAGAACACAACACCATCCACCAAACACTGCGACAGGGATCACTGCGACATTACAGCAGGACACACCACGACATTACAACGGGACACAGCGCGACATTACAGCGGGACACAACACGACATTACAGCGGGACACACCGCGACATTACAGCGGGACCAACCGCGACATTACAGTGGGGCACACCGCGACATTACAGCGGGGCACAGTGGGACACACCGCGACATTACAGCAGGACACACCGCGACATTAGAGCGGGGCGCAGCACGACATTACAGTGGGGCACAGCGTGAAATTACAGCGGGACACACCGTGACATTACAGCAGGGCACAGCGTGACATTACAGCGGAGCACAGTGGGACACAGCGCGACATTACAGCGGGACACACCGTGACATTACAGCGGGGCACAGCGCGACATTACAGCGGGACACACCGCGACATTACAGCGGGACACAGTGCGACGTTACAGCGGGACACACCGTGACATTACAGCGGGGCAGAGCGTAACATTACAGCAGGGCACAGTGGGACACAGCGTGACATTACAGCGGGACACAGCACGACATTACAGCGGGGCACAGCGTGACATTACAACAGGGCACAGCGCGCCATTACAGCGGGACACAGCGCGACATACCGCGACATTACAGCGGGGCACAGCGTGATATTACAGCCGGACACAGCGTGATATTACAACGGGGCACAGCGCGACATTACAGCGGGACATTACAGCCGGACACAGCGTGATATTACAACGGGGCACAGCGCGACATTACAGCGGGACACACCGCGACATTACAGCGGGACACACCGCGACATTACAGCGGGACGCAGCGCGACATTACAACGGGGCACAGCGCGACATTACAGCCGGGCACAGCAGGACACAACGCGACATTACAGCGGGGCACAGCGCGACATTACAGCGGGACACAGCGCGACATTACAGCGGGGCACAGCGTGACATTACAACAGGGCACAGCGCGCCATTACAGCGCGACATTACAGCGGGGCACAGCGTGACATTACAGCCGGACACAGCGTGATATTACAACGGGGCACAGCGCGACA